ATCTCCAAGGAATAGGTACAAGAGATGGATCTCTTAGCCATGGTTGAGTATCAAGTATTGTTTTCATAAATAGATTAATATCTTCTCTTGCTTGAGCAAGTGGACCAATTGTAGTAATAATACTTTCTCTTCCCATTTGTACACCCACCAAACCTTGCTTCGGTATTCGAAAAGTGGTTGGTTTTAATCCATAAACTCCATTGTTAGCAGCTGGAGAACGTATACTTCCACCTATATCAGTTCCAATTCCCATTGGACTACCTTTCAAGCCAAGTAAAGCACCTTCACCGCCTGAACTTCCACCACAAGTTAAACTTCGATTAAATGGATTGACTGTAATACCATAGATTGAACTGCTACATTCTAGATGCATCAAACTTTGTGGTTGAGTAGTACGAACATAGAAGATAGCACCTGCTTCATAGAGAATTTTCAAAATAAGAGCATCATCTTCAGCTATTCTATTAATCCATTTTATATATCCTGCAACACTCCTTCGACCACGCATAATTAATAAATCTTTGACAGAGATCGGTAAACCATGAAGTGGACCAACAGGTCCTCCTCGTCTATTAAATTCTTCATCCAAACATTTAGCTCGATTGATGGCTTCTTCACCAAGAAATTCTGTAGCACAATTAGTCAATTGATGAGCAATACCAGCTCGTTTTAGATAAGCTCTAAGAACTTGTTCAGCTGTTAATTGACCTAAAGCCATAAGAGTAACAAGTTGAGTAGCTGTATAATTTTCAGTAATATTTATTTCATCATTTGATAGTAGACCGCATTGACGTGGAATATTGCTTACATCAAGAAGAGATGAACCAGGAAGTGCATTTCCGAGTAAACTATCCTTTGGAATAGATGCATCTCGAATTTCAAGTACTTGTTGAATGGATGAAGCTGCCATCAATGCTACGAATAACACCTTTAGTGAAAGAAGAAGAATAAATAAAACTAGATAGACAATATATGATAAAATTGATAAGAACACTGCAAGTGTTATATTTCTTGCACTTTATTTAGTCGTTTTCATATTACAAACTGTTTCTTCTTAATAATGCATGTTTATATAGAAGAAGAAAAAACAAAAGTCACAAAAAGAAAAAAGAAAGAATAAAATATGATCAGAATGATGTTTTTCTCTACTCAGGTTTATTAATATGTCATTATTATATTAATATAAATAATTAGGAAGAAATTATAAAATTTTTTTTTGTTTGATAATTATAAGATGAAGTTCAATATGCAACAGTGATCTTCTACGGAAATATGATTTATGATCAGTAAAATAAATGAAATGATCAGCAAATGAAGTAATTAAAAAAAAGTCGGTTAATTTAATGATTGATCAGTTAGTTACTCAAAATGGTCAGTTATTAATTAATTAGATTTGTAAATAAATTTAAAAATCAGCAAATACGGTTTATTAATAATTGGTTATATTAAAGGATCAGTATAAAAGTTGAAATGGCTATACAGTACATGATTTTTGTTTTTTGTCTTTCTCTTGAGCTGTTCTGCATACGTTCTCGTTCTTCTGAGCCACTTCTTTTAACGTACATATTTTGTAAATGAGAAAAATCATTGTTTTAAGTCTTCGTATTCTTCATTATCTAAAAGAAAGGAAAAGAAACTTCTTGACTTCTTCTCTAGTCGTTGTCGGTATCTATCCTCATGTATAAATATTTAGTATTTTTCAAATAAAAATAACATATTTCACGCTTACAAAATTTGACGTATTTATAACTGTGGAAATAGTACAAGTTTCTCAATATGAGAGCGATATATGAGATGTAGAGATGGTGGACGAAAATTATGAAATAAATAGAAATAAAAGAACCCAAAAGAAAAAAGGAATCAAAATGTTGGGTTAAAAAAGATGCGTTTGATAATGCTGACGACGCAGAATCATCAGTTGAACATCATTAGTCAAAATATTACACAAACCAGTTAGAAGATGGAAGAAAAGTTTATTGCAAATGCAAGAAAGTCAAGCGTTGTGTTCCTTAATGTCATACAAATATTTATCTGCTATATGATGCAGATAGTGATAAAGTAACTGCTTGTGAAATGAAATTTGAACATGAACATAATAATGGCACTATTTGTAATATTGACGAAAATGTTATAAAGTACATAGAAGGTTTATTCAATGATGATATAAAGAAATCAAAACTAGTTCTCAAACCAATTCAATCAAGAAAAATGAATGTATCAATGTTAGCACAGCTAAACAATTATCTTGTCTATTGTAAAAAAAAAAGAAATTTGATTCGCATAAAATAAGTTTAGATGAATTAGAATAATGATGTGAAAATAATCAAAATATTCCAATGGATGAAAACAAATCTTTTGCTACGTCATACAAGAACTTATATGATGATAAAGAATATACAAAGATGATGGTACAAACAAATTTCGTATCTTTATATCATCTGTTCATTTGTTCAGTATCGTATTTACGTCACAACATATAGATGCTAATACCATTTATAAATTAATATGGTAAGATTTTCCAGTACTAGCTATTGGAACAAATATTTGATCCACGTGGTTTAGCAATATGTCCAAATAGAAAAACAAAAAAAATTTCAATTCATTTTCGGTAGTCTTTCTTCAAATTGGTATGCAAAAAGGGTGTATGTCAGTATAGCTATTTGTTAGAAATATTGTACACCATTGGCAGCAGTAATGGCTAAATCTGCTTTACTAATACAATAATCTGATTTTTATTTTTTTTTAATTATTCTTCTAGTTTCTTGTTATTTATTCTGTAGTACTTTGATTTATTTAAATTTAATTTCTACCGATAAATTTTGTATGTTTTACTGATGTAAATTGAATTTTTTTTTTCTGCAACTTATACTTAATAAACTGATCGTTTTACAATTAATTACTGGTAATTTTAGTATTGATCTTTTAATATTTATATTGACCATTTCATCTATTTTACTGATCACTTAAATGATAGTCATTTTCTATGAAGAAGACTTCGATCTCATAAACATAAAAATTGATTAGTTTTTTTGCATAACTTATGAATAATACCGATTTTTTTTCGTCGTGTTATATTTACAAGTGAATAAAGCTTGTTAGTGCAGCCATTTTGGAACTGAAATGTGAAAGTCACATATGTTCTGTAGCCTCATTAAACTAATACGAAATAGGTGAAGTGAAAAAGCCCTCATAGACTATAGTTCTGTTCGAATATAAGCGATCAGCGAAGCAAAGATTTATCTTATTTATTTCTGCATTTCGAACAGAAATTCTTTTTTATCCATATTGTTATCATTACAAGCATTGAACTAAATGGAAAATAAGATTGTTATAAATAACCATTGTATCTACAGCAGGAGGTCTTAATGCACTATTATATATCTCGATCAACTCACAAAAAAACTGACATCGATTATTTTTAAAGTTATAACCGGATCAATTCACGTTTTTTATGTTGATCAAATGACAACTATAGCATGCAGGGTACCCTGATTACTACGGTCTCTAATGGAAGAAGCCGCGAAACTTCGACCTAAAATTTACACTCACTATTTTCTAGGAAAATATATGTGAATCTCACAAAAGAAGCAGTATATTTGAACAAGCATGCTTTATTTTTCTTATATTGGACGTCCAAGAGGGGAGAGAGGTCAAAAAATGTGAGTTTTATCTGGACCTCTCGAATGAATGATCTCTAAGCCCACTATTATTGAAACCCAATATGTAACTTTTTGACTGATATTCGATGCTTTTTTGATTGCATACTCTTTGTTTGACTTCAAATAATTATTACATTTAGAATTAATACAAAGAATTACGTCAACTTATCTACGTTCCAAACTTTTTCTGTGACGATTTTTTTTTCGATGAAATTTTTACCTTTGGTTCGCCTCACGAATATGTGAAAAAAGAATTTAAGTGAAATACTTATTTGGACCGTAAAAAGTAACTTTTGAACTTTCAGAATATCATTTCAAGAAAAAAAAACGATGCGTGACTAAACAATAAAATAGATATTTCAATTAAATTCGTTTTTGACATATTCGTGAGGGTGACCAAGAGTGAAAATTTCATCGAAAAACATAGTCACAGAAAAAAATTGAAACATATATACGTTACTTTTTAGTCAAAAAAGTCACATATTCGATTTATAATGGCTACCTATTCATTTAGTATGTGGTGAAGGTAGACGCTATTTATACTCAAAGTCTTTTGAACATGTTTTGATTAACCAATTGATCGGAACGTCAAATTTTTGATTTACAGCGACAGAAAAGAAAATTCTGATTCCAGTAGTACGTAAATATCTTTTGAAGAAAAACATTTCCTTATCAATTATAGAAACAATAATTCATTTTTTTATGAGCTGTCGATTTTTTCGATACTTCACATTCGAAGCTTTGCACAACATTTCGAATTTGCGTGGAAATCGAATGCCACTAATGTTGTTTCTAGTTATTTGATTTCATTTTTTACGATCGATGATGATATTAATGGTATCTGTATTATATTATCAAAATCTGACAAATTTATAGAGGATCCAACTGAAGAATTCAACAGAGTCACAAACGATAAAAAGCAAAGTATAAACACAGTGAAAGTTAACATGTGCTGATTTATTGATCTATGAAAATAAAAGTGAAAATAAGAGAATTTATACATGAAAAATAATCCAACTATATCATCGTATTACATATACATTTTCGTCTCTTTCTTTTCTTATTACGCACATAGGATTTTGTCATTTATGAAAGCATAGAAAACAATTATCTAGGTGTATACATTAAAATAAGTCAGTTAAGACTTAAGTATGATTCAGATTATACATATCTCGCTAGCAAACTAAAATTAACAAACACTTTAAATTGAATTCTCAAAAACATTATTCTTTTCTCTCTATGAGAATTCTAATAATTAAAACTTAATATGTTATCTTATGTCAATAAACAAATGTCGTTCTCTTTGATGATAACGATTTTGAAAAATAGCTTTCAACATACTCATCTAAGTCAAATACACAATAGAAGAAAAAAAAAGCTCGTTCTAATGATAACATAATATTATTAATGTATAAATACACACATGCAATACGACAGCAAAGAACAGAAAAAGCGAGGCTATTTTTGTCTTGAATATACCGGTTTTTTTCTTTTTTCATAGATCAGGTGATTAATATTTAATAAGAAACAAAACAACTGACGTAAATGAGAAATGTCGACAATTTTTTAAACTATTCCTACTTATTATTTTAATCATTTAGAATTTGTTAATCAACTAATACAAAAAAAAGTCATATCTATATAAAATAGTATCAATTGAAGTTCACAGATAAAACACGTAATAATAAATCACAATGAAAAGTTGAAGTCTCTTTTTTTTGTCTTTCAAATTATTCTCTGCCCATTGCTCGTTCAATAATTTCGACACATTTCATTACTTTTTCATCATTATAACGTCGACAAACAACTTGTAATGAAATAGGAGCATTAATATAGGATTGAGCTGATGTATACAATTTATAATTTTCTTCATCAAGTGTATTTCGAGGTTTATAATCAATTTCTACTTTATCTTTGACAAGATCAACAGTTGTAACAGGAAAAACAGCAGCTGGATAATCAAGAAGATTCCATATAGAAGTATAACCCCACCATTTGGCTGTACCATGTTTAGGAGCTGCAGATGGACCAACAGGTGTCAGAATACAATCAATAGAACAATTTAGAGAAGTTTCTCGTTCATTCCATATATGTGCATAACGATTACGATAATTTTCTCTTTCTACAATCAATTCATTCATTTCAGTCCAGTTTCTTTTTTTCACATGTGGTTGATTAAGAATCCATTCTGTGAGTGGTAGAGGTTCTTCATTTACTTCTGTCATCATATTTCGTTCTGTTTCAGCTCCAT